TGCTTCGATATAAAGAGGCTTCAACGTTTAGATAAGAAATACATGCACATTGTTGACATGCTCTTTTTATTTAAGAGATATTTTAGTCATTTTTAAGATTTTTTAAGAATAGTATTTGACTTTTCTTTATATAGCTTAACATTATACCTCCATTGACTATTGCCACATGAGTTATTTTACATAGTGTTCGGGAATGTATGTGTCGCCAGAGAAGCGAGCGGAGTCCTGCATGGTGGACGGCAAGGGTTCCCGGCGCCGACTTTCTCGCAGTTGGCACAGCGCTCCGGTCTTTCGCAGGCGAGCACACGGCCGTCCCGTCGATCGCCCTCGCCTGGCGAGTAGCTCCAGCCATAGCCGCTACAAGGTACGCCCCATGACTCCGCAATCAGCGGGCAAGAATCCGCTGGCCAGGTATAAATTTCACGAAACTGCCGGCTCTTAGCCTTCGCATGGCCCAACGCCGATGGTAATGACCAATCTTTGGTGTCTGGTCTCTGCGATTTGTAACGCCCATCTTTACCGACCTGCTCTCTAGGCTTTCCTAGTGCAGTTTTCGCGTGTAGTAGAGATTCGAACCAACGCAATATATACTCTGCTGAGTTGACGGCAGTGCTAATATATCCTGCTGGGTTGAGGCTTTACGGTGAGAATTAACTTTAGCTTTGAGTTCACCGCGTTGCCACGATACAGGAGCGAACTTATCGTCTCCGTGTGGAATAGGTGACTCGCTCTTTTCGAGCGTCCGTCGAGGACCTCGGCTGTTAAGAGCGGCATGGCCGTCTCCTTTGAAGTTTACGAACCCTCTCTCTTTCCAAGTATCCATCGAGAATCTTGGTGATTTTTAGAGCGACGTAATCGCTTCTTTGAGAACTCCGAGCTCTCGGACGAAGCGTCCGCAAGACATTGACTAGTCGCCCAGGAACAACTCAGTCGCCTCCCGCGTAACAAGAGCTCAGAGCTTTCGTGTGCGTCTCCACGGTTCTCAGGACCGAAGCAGATTGCAGGCCGTTGAGTCCGGAAGGCAGGCCGTCCGAAACGACGGAGTTCGTTTCACTTTCGCGCTCGTAGACGTCTTTGTCACGAGTGCCGCTCGGGTTTCTCGGCTCGGTTTGACGACCCGAAGAGTCCGTATAAGACCTGAGTCTACTATCATCCTTGACTCCGATCCTTCTGGTAAGGGTGTTTCGGCATCCGCGCAATTTCGCTCATTCTTGAGCAAAGTCGCAAACACAAAAAACATCCTAACATTTTATATAGAATGAGTGGTTTATTTATTAACAATTTTATCATGCGATAAGGGTTATCGGCTACAATTGTAATCGCTCGAATAGTTTGAAAATTCCCGGGGAGGGAATGTTATATCGATTACTATAGCTCAACTCCTTCGTGAACAATAGAAGCCTGAAGAGAGCCCCTTATAAAACAGTACTGATGTATTCATAAATACAACACAAATTATCAACTATTATGGTTAATCATTGCGAATATCGCAAAACTATATAGGACTTTTATATTTACCTTAATTCACTCCGTCTCCACGATTGTAGCGAGTTATGGGATGCCCTATAGAATTCTTGAGGTTAGTTGTTAGCGGGGTAGGTTGTTACAAATATGGGGAGGAAACGCTGGCGCAGTTTCCCTAGCTCTCCCTACTCCGGCCTATTTGAACGGCATTCCGAAGAGGTTCTAAGATCGATATACACTATACGGCACGGACCGCCGCGTACCGGCAGCGACACCTATCGATACCGACACGTACCGATACCGACACGTACCGACACTGACTCGTACCGACGCCGACATGTACCGACACCTTCCGCACCGACACGTACGGACACCGACACGTACCGACACCGACATGTACCGACACCGACATGTACCGACACCGACATGTACCGACACCGACACGACAAATTAATGCATTTGTTCAGACTGTCCCGGTAACTGTCAGTCAGTTGACGTTGCAGTCATAATGGATGGATTACCTAGCGACGATAAATTGGTCCTTACAATCTTACTTTTAAAAGAAGAGAAAGCCGAACCGAAAAAAATGAGAAAAAATCGGAAATGGGAGCATCCAATGTTAAAAAAAGAAAAATTTGAAGAGGAACATTGAACATTATTCAAGGATTTACTAAAATATGACAAGTATTATCAGGTTTTTAGAATGCCGCAATGTAAATTTTATTAAAATTTATTAAAATTAATTGAATCTCTACTACAAAATAAAATATATCGTTCCGCAAGTCGCTCTCTCTCTCTCTCTCTCTCTCTCTCCCGCTTTCTCTCTCTCATTCTTTCTCACTTTCTGTCTTTCTCACTCACACTCACTCTTTCACTCTCACTTTCACTCTCTCTCACTCTTTCAGTCTCTCTCTAACTCTGTCTCTCTCTCTCTCTCTCTTACTCTCTCTCACGCTCTCACTCTCTCTCTCCCTTTCTCTCTCACTCTCCCTCTCACTCTCTCTTACTCTTCCCATTCTCTCCCTCACTCCCAGGCTCAGCCTCACTCTCACTCTCACTTTCTCTAAGTCTCTCACTCACTCTCTCTCTCTCTCTCTCTCTCTCTCTCTCTCTCTCTCTCTCTCTCTCTAACTATTTCATTTTCTCACACCCTTTTTCTCTTCCTCTCTCCCCCCCTCTCTCCCTCTCTCACTCTCACTCCCTCTCACTCTCACTCTCTCAATCTCACTGTCACTTTCTCTCTGTCTCTGTCTCTCTCTCTCTCTCTCTCTCTCTCTCTCTCTCTCTCTCTCTCTCTCTCCCCCTATCTCTCCCTCTCTTTCCCACTCTCCCTCTCTTCCACTCTCTCTCACTCACTCTCTCCCCTCTCCCTCCCTCCCTCTCCCTCTCACACCACGCCCTCTCTTCGCCCGCTTCGATATATTCGAGTTCGAGGTTTCATGCACCTTTTTCAAAAGAAATCCGCTGATGCAAAAAATATCACTCAGCTGTAATTCACAACCTGCTGTGTGACAACCGCAAGCGACACGAAGCCGGCCGTAACACGATAACGAAACGGCCAATCAGCATCGCGATAAGAAATACATTCACAATGTTGACATGCGCTTTTTATTAAAGGGATGTTTTGGTCATTTTTAAGATTTTTGAAAAATAGTATTTGACTTTTTTCTTTACTTTGCTTAACATTATGCCTCCATTGGCTATGGCCACATTTGTTACTTTATATAGAACATCCTAACATTTTATATAGAATGAGTGGCTTATTTATGAACTATTTTATCATGCGATATGGGTTACCGACAACAATTATAATCGCTTGAACAGTTCGAGGGTCCCTGGGGAGGGAATGTTATATCGATTCCTCTAGCTCTCTTCCGGCCCAGCTGGTAGACACTCCGGAGGGATTTTAGTCGGTAAGAGTCCAGCATAACCCCCGCCTGTTGTCAAAGAAGCAGGGGTATCCATGAGGATTTCTTTTCGTGAACAAAAGAACCCTGTAAAAGGCCTCTTATAAAACAATACTGATGTGTTCAATATAAGTTTTCAACTATTATAGTTAATCATTGCGAATATCGCAAAACTAGGACTTTTATACTTGCCTTAATTCACTCTGTTTCCACGAATTCCTTGTATCGAGTTATGGGATACCCTGTGGAATTCTTAGAGTTAGCTATTAGCGGGGTAGATTGTTATAAATATGGGGAGGGAATGCTGGCACAGTTTCCCCAGCTGCCTCCACTCCAGCCTATTTAGACAACATTCCGGAGAGGTTTTGAAATCGATACACACTATACGGCACGGACCGCCGCGTATCGGCAACGACACCTATCGACACCGACACGTACCGACACGTACCGACATCAACTCGTACCGACGCCGACACGTACCGACGCCGACACGTACGGACACCGAAACGTGTCGACACCGACATGTACTGACACCGACACGACAAATTAATGCATATGTTCAGACTATTCCGGTAACTGTCAGTCAGTTGACGTTGCAGTCATGATGGATGGATCATCTAGCGACGATAAATTGGTTCTTGCAACCTTATTTTTAGACGAAGAGAAAACGGGACTGAAAATAATGAAAGAAAGGAATCAGAAATGGATACATCTAATGTTAAAAAAGAGAAAACTTGAAAAAAAACATTGCACATTATTCAATGATTTACTAAAATATGACATGTATTATCAGTATTTTAGAATGTCGGAATGTAAATTTTATGATTTATTAAAATTAATTGAACCTATACTACAGAATCAAAATATATCATTTCGTGAGGTAATTTCACCAACAGAATATTAACATTTTCAATTTATTTTTCCTACTTCATGTTCTACTGCGTCCATTTTCTATCGCTTACTGATTCAGACTGGCATAATGTGAATTGATCTTTAGTCGGTAAGAGTCCGACATAATCGATTTTACAGATTATAATATTTTATGTTTAACAACCTTTTTTATTCACAGAAGGGAAATCCTCATGGATACTCCCGCCCCTTTGGGGAAGGGCAGGTTATGCCCTTAGACTTATCGGCTAAAACTCAGGATGTCTTCCAGGTAGGCCGGAGTGGGGAGAATTGGAGGAACTACGCCTTCCCCAGTACCACGGCCCTGGGGCTCGAAACAAGCCCTTCGCCCAAGTGCCACGTCCTCCCTCCACCTTGCACGGAAAAGAGGGGCGCGGATGCTTACAAGCGTAGGCTTGTGAATATAGCAATATAATATTGAGAGATATTTGTAAATGAAGGAAAAATATTCCATTGAGCACTAAGTGTTCAAGGATTTAAATTTTAATATTAACTGTTGATAATGTCACTCTCCTCAGTTATATTCGGACAGCACGTTGCACCTTTATCTTCACAAATATTAATTCTAGTTTATTGCTTCTTAAAATTATCAAGATTATTTATTTTTACCGTTGTAATTGTAAATTATAAAATTAATATTTATCCTGTAAATATTAAATTATTTTTGTTTACGTTTATATAGGGTGTTTAATACTACCCCCCCGCGGGCACCACCTTGTCGTGGTGGGGGGGCTTGAAGGTCCCAATGATGTACAGAGCTGTGCCGGCGGGGGCTTCGGCCCCTGGCAGGTTCTACCATGCCGGAGTGGTCTGTACTGAGGGACTGGACTAAGAGTGCCCTGGTCTTCACTATTTTGTAAATTCCTGTTGATACGTTTGTTGGTAAGTTTGATGGTAAATTTGTCGATAAATTTGCATATAATATGTTGATGATAAGTATAATATAATCGCATATAAAGATATATAATATATGATTGCAGGCTAGTGAATACAGCAATTACGCGATTTAGCTGGATAATTAACAAGTAAGTATAAATTAATAATATTTATATATTAATGATGTATGTACGTGACGTATATATAAAATAATAATGTAACATAGTATAAGATTTTACAAGTAAAATTTATGTAAAGCTTACGTTTTTAAACGAAAAGGTAAAAAAGGCGCCAAGTACAAGCGCAACACGTATTGTGTTATTTTTAAAAGTATCAAACTCAAATTATTTTTTATTGTATATATGTGTACATAAGTTTTTACGAGTAAAACTTATAACTATAATAAAACTCTGCAACACTTTTCTACTGTACAAAAGAAGTGATATATTAGAACAGTAGCGCCAACTGAGAAACCTAACATATACGAGGGTGGTCCGATAAGTACTTAGCCTACAAAAGAAAAACGAAAATTTTGGAAAAGTGGCGATTTATTTCTCAACATAGTCTCCTTTTAGCTCGATACACTTGACCCAGCGATGCTCCAACTTCTTTAACCCGTCTGAAAAATACGTTTTCTCGAGGTCTGCAAAGTAGGCCTCCGTGGCGGCGATGACCTCCTCATTCGACTCAAATTTCTGCCCGGCGAGTGACTTTTTCAAGTTTGGAAACAAAAAGAAGTCGCACGGGGCCAAATCTGGACAATACGGTGGATGGGGCAGCAGTTCGTAGCCCAATTCGACCAATTTGACCGTGGCGAGGGCGGAGGTATGAGCCGGCGCGTTGTCATGGTGGAAGAGCACTTTTTTCTTCGCCAAATGGGGCCTTTTTTCTGCAATTCGGCGTCGAATCGGCCCAATAATTCGGCATAGTACAGCCCTGTGACCGTTTTGCCCTTCTCCAGGTAGTCGATGTAGATCACACCTTGTGAATCCCAGAAAACGGTGGCCATCACCTTTCCGGCCGATAGGCCAGTCTTCGCCTTCTTCGGAGCACGTTCGCCGGGTGAAGTCCACTGTTTCGACTGTTCCTTGGTCTCTGGTGTGTACCAGTGGATCCATATTTCGTCGACGATCACGAAACGATGCAGAAACTCCTTCGGATTGCGCTTAAATAGCGTCAAACACTGCTCTGAAGTGGTCTCACGGTTGCGCTTGTTGTCCGGAGTGAGCAAATGCGGCATCCATCGCGCCGACAGCTTTCTTATGCCCAAAATTTCATGCAGGATATGACCCACGCGGTCTTTTGAGATGCCTACTGTCTCAGCTATCTCGAGCACATTCAATCGGCGGTCTGCCAATACGAGATCGTGGATTTTTGTCATGTTATCCTCCGTGGTAGCCGCTTTCGGGGCACCTGGGCGTGGCTCATCAAAAACCGACGTGCGACCACGTTGAAACTCATTAAAACAATTTTTGACGGTCGCCATCGAAGAAGAAGAGTCACCGTACACAGCATCCAAGCGCTCTTTGATTTCGCTGCGCGATTTCCCTTCCAAAAACAAGAATCGAATCACCGACCGATATTGCTCTTTTTCCATTTTTCTAAAATCCGCGGACACGCCCGCTTCCACACGCGGTCAAAACAAAACTACGAGTCCGATTCGGCTGAAATTTCGACAGTAGCCGTCTACGAGACGGCTGTCTACTACACGATGTACTACACGATAGTAAATTTCTCTTGCGATAGTGGCGCCATCGGGCGTTGAGGCTAAGTACTTATCGGACCGCCCTCGTACAGGGTGTTTGATAGCTGATCATGCAGACGAAAGTTGGAGATAGATTAGGTGTAGCCGAGAAGAAAAGTCATGTACCGTAATGTCAAATTGGCAATAGTTATCGAGTTATTAATTAAAACATGTGAGCTAACGAGCGCGTAGAGAGCGGAGGGCGACCGCAGTAAGCACATAGACATTTGATACAGGCGGAGTCAACGAGTGGCGGTAGGCGAGCGCGCGCGGCGAGAGGCAACGTAAACAACAAGAGGTGAACGCGCGCGACGAAAAGCGAGCGAGCGCGAACGACGAGGAGCGAGCGAGCGCGACGAAGAGCGAGCGAGCGCGACGAAGAGCGAGCGAGCGCGAACGACGAGGAGCGAGCGAGCTATGAGGAAAAAGCTGTAAAGAAAAAGTTCGCTCGCTCCTCGTCGCGCTCCTCGTCGCGCGCGATCGCCTCTTGTCGTTTACGTTGCCCCTCGCCTCGCGCGCTTGTCTACCGCCACTCACTGACTCCGCCTGTATCAAATGTCTACGTGCTTACTGCGGCCGCCCTCCGCTCTCTACGCGTTCATTGGCTCACATGTTTTAATTAATAACTCGGTAACTACTGCCAATTTTACATTATGGTATATGATTTTTCTTATCGGCTACACCTAATCTATCTCCAACTTTCGTCTGCATGATCAGCTATCAAACACCCTGTATATATATGATTATTGTATACTTAACTTAATATTTTTAGAAATCTCAAATTCAAATTATTTTCTTTTTTAAGATATATATTATGTACATAACATAAGTTTTTATCATATATGTATATAAACTTTTAAAACTAAAAATTATATTGTGTTATAAAAATTTAACACGTTTGTTAATAGTGTCCAATATTTAAAAAAAGTATCTTTTTAAATATTATGTACATAAGTTTTTATAAGTAAAACTTATTAAATTATTTTTTTTGTAAGATATATATGTACATAAACTTTTAAAAGTAAAAATTATATCGTGTTAAAATAAAAATTAAAATAAAAATTTAACACGTTTGTTAATAGTGTCCAATATTTAAAAAAATATCTTTTTAAAGGTTATGTTATTCAAAATATTCAAGAAAACCTAGCTACAAAAAATGTCCATACATAATTTTTTATAAGTCCAACATAAATTTTTATAAGTAAAATTTATCATTATTTATTAGAACACTGAGTTATATGGTTATTTTACTTGTTATTGTAACAAATTAATTATTATAACAATGCAATAAAAAATATTTAATACAAAAAATTTTGGCGCGGCTGCACCAAATACTATGTCGAACTAAAACTTGTTTAATACATATATGACAGCATTTTTATTATAATATTAGGTTGTTCGGAAAGTTCGTTTCAAATTTTTGAAATAAATTAAGAGCGCAATATTTTACACAAAGAGGAACTTTATTGAAGCAAATATGTACCGTTTTGTTCAACAACCTTGGCCCATCTTTCAGGAAGCTGCATGATACCTTTGCTCCAAAATAAAGGTTTCTTATTGGCGAAGAATTTATCAAGATGACTTTTGAGGATTTTCAAAGACTTGAATTTCTTGTCCCGAAGAAAATTTTTTAAAGAAAGAAATAGATAGTAGTCAGATGGGTCATGGTCGGGAGAATATGGAGGATAAGGAAGAACGTCCCATTCGAAGTCTAACAGCTTCCTACGGATAGACATTGCGACGTGAGGTCTGGCGTTATTATGATGGAAAACAATTCCACGCCTGTTGGTCAATTCAGGGCGCTTCCGTGCGATGGCAGTCTTCAGTTCGTCCAGTTGAAGGCTGTACTTCGCCGCGTTGATGGTTTCGTTTGGTTGAAGAAGCTCATAATATACCACGCCCTTAAAATCCCACCAGATACTCAGAAGAACCTTTTTCGCGTGAAGCCCCGGGTTGGCCACTGTTTGCGTAGACGCGTCGCTGGTTCCCCACGACCTCTTGCGGCTAACATAATTATATAGGATCCAACTTTCATCGCCTGTTATGATCCTCTTCAAGAACGGTTCTTTTTAGTGCCGTTGAAGCAGCATATCGCAGACGTTCACACGTTCCAGCAACTGCCGTTCATTCATTGAGTGTGGCACCCACACATCCAGTCGACTTGAGAATCTTAGCTTCTTCAGATGGTCATGCACGGTGGAAACAGATTTGTGCAGAGGGTCGGCGAGTTCTCTAACTGTCACTCGAGGATTTTCGTGCACGAGATCCATAAGAAGCGTTTCATCAACCTCCTAAGGCCGGCCTGAGCGAGCTTGATATTCCATGTTGAAATCGCCAGCTTCGAATCTTCGATACCAATTTCGAACTGTCTGGTGAATGATGCAGGCATCTCCATATACTGAGAACATCTCATTCAGGGTCTGCGAAGCCGTGAAGCCACGTTTAAAGCAATATAGCATCACATAACGAAAATGGACTTTTTGGTTCTCCATTTTTCAAACTGATTTCTGACGAAATAGTTGCACTTAGGAAGATCTGCGAAGTTTCCTTAGCGGGCTCATAGATCCGGGAATGTTTGTTGACAAACATAAAATCGTTTAGAGCGCCTTCGTTCTTACTGATTACATAGAAATGTGGAGCGCGCGAAATTTGAAACGAACTTTCCGAACAACCTAATATATTCTATAATGAAGGTTTATAATTTATTATAATACTATATAAACTAAAAAAAACATTACACCGTATATGTATAGAGAGAATTTACAAGTACATTTTATTATAATAAAAATGCTGTCATATATGTATTAAACAAGTTTTAGTTCGATATAGTTTTTGGTGCAGCCGCGCCAAGATTATAATAAAATGTACTTGTAAATTCTCTCTAAACATATACGGTGTAATGTTTTATTTAAGTTTATATAGTATTATAATAAATTATAAACCTTCATTATAGAATATATTATAGAATAAATTTTTGTGTCACAATAAAGAAACCATACACAAGTCGTGCGTTAACAACTAAGAAAATTTCAAAGTCATACTTTTACTATACAAAAACAATGTACTACATTAAAACATCGAAACGGTCAAATATAACTCGGTATTTCTACTGATTAACCGGAAAAAAGCGTACACATGTTTTACGTAATATAATACAATAAAAATAGTATTAGGAGTACAAATAAGTTTCCGCCGTTTTCTATCGAAAATTAAGAATTTATTGTGAAAGAACGGTACATTACGTTTTATTCAAAGTATTGTCCATCACTAGCCACTACTTTTTCCCATCTTTCTGGCAGCATTCGGATACCATGTTGGAAGAACTCTCTTCATCTTTTGAGGCTATCCACGAATCGAACCAATTTTTAGTATCTTCATATGATGTAAAGCGCTGCTTAGACAGGCCATGTGCCATCGACCGGAACAAGTGATAATCGGAAGGGGCAATATCTGGTGCATACGGCGGGTGGGGTAGGACTTCCCAATTAAGTGTTTCCAAATAGGTTTTGACCGGTTTTGCAATATGTGGCCGAGCGTTGTCATGTAGGAGAATAATTTTGTCGTGTCTGGAGTAGTAATGGGCGCGTCTTGAGTACTCCTTGAGTACTCGGCTCAATCTCATTAATTGTATTCGGTAGAGAGCTCCAGTAATAGTTTCGCTCAGTTTGAGCAACTCATAATACACGACACCAAGCTGATCCCACCAAATACACAGCATGAGTTTTTTTCCATGAATATTCGGTTTGACTGTCGATGTTGAAGCATGGCCAGGTGGTCCCCATGATTTTCTCTTCTTTGGGTTATCGTAGTGGATCCATTTTTCATCACCAGTAACTATACGATGCAAAAAATCCTTTCTTTTATACTTGGCAAGCAGCATTTCACACGTGCAAAATCGGCGTTCAACGTCTCTCGGCTTCAGTTCAT